ATCTATTCCGAAATGTAAGGTTTTGTTGTTGAGTCGTTGGTACTTCTTGTGGATTGTTCTGGTGCGGAGAACAAGAAAGATTGGCTCTTTTTGCCTTCCGGTCTATGCTTACCTGTTTCTGGATTCAAAAGCTTTCTCTTTTCCTTCATACCGAAATGTCAGGTTGCAAGAAATGCATGATGGTTTCTTGCGGACTGTTATGCTGCAGAGAACAAGAAAGATTGATTCTTTTTGCCTTCTGGTCTTTGATTACTTGTTTCTGGATTCAAAAGCTGGCTCTTTTCCTTCACACTGAAATGTCAGGCTGCAAGAAATGAATCCCGGTTTACTGTTGAGATGTTAATCACTGTTCATTTGTGCTGTGAAAGAGATCCTGAGTTCTCCTCTGTTTTAACTTGTTTCTCCTTGCAAATCTTCTATTTCTCAATTTCTTTCCTTTGATTTTTATTAGACCAAATTGTTGCTGTGATTGTGAGGTGGGAACATTGTTGTGAATGTTCCTTGGTGATAATGAATTGATTTGGTGTTACACAGTATATGTAATGTGCAAGAATCATCAGCTTATCTAGACAACTCCAGAAAGAACAATATTGCCTCCATACACTACTAATGAAAGCAAAGCAAAACCACCACTATTTATAGATTTGCGTTGGATTTCCAGCTTCAAATTTCTTCCTTTTGTCTTATATACTGTATTTTCTCTGACCACGAGAGAGTTAGAAATGGGAGAATTTAGCTCGTCTTCTTTCTTGGTGTACCAACTGTGATTGTCAGCTATGTCCACCTTAGCATCACCAATCGTTCTTTCTTGAAGTGCTTAGTTCATCGATTCTATCTTGAGATCATATGAGGCAGCTGAAATCTATGGTTGGTGAGAAGAATTCACCCATTCTTTGCGTTTCGATCTCAGGATCTTCAAGTGGAAGATACTGCTGCTCGATCACAGGACAAGAATGAGTGTACTACATCGACGAGCGAGATGGATAAACCAGCTTCCGCTGATCGAGAGGATGCGTCGACCAAGAACTCGGTGGCGGAAGAACACTCGAAAGACAAGGCTGTGAAGAAGCCGGACAAGATCCTCCCTTGTCCTCGGTGCAAAAGCTTGGACACCAAGTTCTGCTACTACAACAACTACAACGTCAACCAGCCGAGGCACTTCTGCAAGAACTGCCAAAGGTATTGGACCGCCGGAGGCACCATGAGGAACGTCCCCGTTGGAGCTGGTCGACGCAAGAGCAAGAGCACGTCTCACTTCCGGCACATCGCCGTGTCGGAGTCCTCCCTCCAGTCCGTTCGATGTAATGCACCTGAATCAGTTCGTTACCCTCCGAAGCCAAATGGCACGGTACTCAGCTTTGGCACGGATGCGCCGGCGAAGGCAAAACCGCTACCTTCGTCTGAGACATCCATGCTTAGTCCGAACGAAAATGGTGGCCAGAATTATCAGGGATCAGCTGCTCCAATTCCATGTTTCGGTGGATCCCCGTGGCCGTATCCTTGGACACCAGCCGCTCCTCTCAGCTTTCCGATCCCGTTCTATCCTGCTGCGGCTTATTGGAGTTGCGCTGTTCCATCCGGAGCTTGGAGCGTTCCATGGCTGTCCCCCTTAGCTTCCTCTCACCCAGCGGCAGCACCCAATACTGGCAACTTAGGCAAGCACTCGAGGGATGGAAGCAATCTGAACAATAGCAGTCTATCGACGGAAGAAGACGGCGGTTTGGCTCCGACGACGCTGAGGATTGATGACCCTGAAGAAGCTGCAAGGAGCTCCATATGGACCATGGTGGGCGTCAAGCGCAGCAAGAACAATGCGGTTAGCAATGGAGGGCTTCTCAGGGCCTTCCATCCGAAGGTAGACGTCAAGAACCATGTGCTGGTGGCACCATCACTGCTGCATGCCAACCCTGCTGCGCTGTCTCGATCTCTGAACTTCCATGAGACCTCTTAGAGAAGCAAATCGAGCAACTGCAATTTTGCAGAGTAGAAGGAAGATGGTGAAGAGGAACTCAGGAGTGCGTCCTTGCTGATGTAACACTAGAAATTAGTAATCTTGGCTTAGATATGATGGCTTGGTGAGTCTTCTGCATGTGAAAATAGATTTGTAGTGAGAGAAGGATGTCTGTTTGTACACAAATAAGTGTTGGAACTCGATCGAAGAGAATGATAGTGAGTAACCTTTTGCTTAGATTCTGCATCGGCTTCCTTCGGAGCTACACCTTCTTCTGATTCCTGGATCTACTTAGACAAGTATAAAAGTTTAGCGGATTGAAGTAGGACCAAAAGCTCAGATACCAGCAGAAATGTCCACATTGGCTAGGCTTGTTGGGTCGTGCGGAAGGTGGGGAAAAGGCAGGGTGGGTGAAAGAAACATCTGCTTGCAGATGTGCTCGCAATAATACAAGGCACTACCGAATGGGGTGAGGAAAAGGATGAGAAGAAGACATGGAAAAAGGAGATGGAAGTTCTCGTTTGGCCCACCTCGTGTCCCACTGAGGAGAGAACTGGATTCCTGCCACAAACAGCCAAGCATCCTACCAACAACTGAAGGAGGCAAAAAAAGAGAGGAGGGAGGGAGATGATAATGGAGAGAGATCTTTTTCTTTCTTTTCTTTGCTTACAGTAACAGGTGAAAACAAAGCAATCCGTAGAACATATACTGACCTTTTTGTTCTATAAAGATTATTCTGTAACACAAAGGGAATCTGGAATTCTTTATGACGCACGATCAAACTCACGCTGTCATCCTCTCGGAACACATGAATTCACTCCATTTAGATCGAATGTTAATAGACACATCTATCGATCACACTGATTTCTCCTAAACGTAGCACCTCCTCCTCTTTCGACTTCTTTCGGTGGAAGGTAGAGAAGCATTTGCGGTCAAAGGGTTGAGCTCTGCCGTGTGATTTCCACTCGAATGTGTCATTTTGGAGTCTGGCCAACATCCGACTATCTTGCTTAACGTTTGACCTCAGGTTGAGAGTTTTCTCAACATCCTACAGTCGATCACGTTGGAAGAGAAGCAATAGACGGGGAGAAATGTGCCTTTCAGCATCGTGCTGGTGAGCACCAAAGCACTAACTTCTGTCATCTCCTCTGTCATACGAATTGTAGGTGGGATATAAAGAAGCCAGCCATACATGAAGTTGACTCCATGATTCATCAAAACAGGTGAAATGAAAGATCAGAAAAAGAAAGAAAAAAAGATTAAAAGGCAAGAAGGAATGTTCAGTATATGGCAGTGTTTTGCTTCATGCACTGTTAGCAATCAAATCTTTTGTGGCAGAAGATTTCAGGATGGTTTACATGGACTGGTGTCTGAATCCACCTCTGAAACAGGGCCACTGTCAGGTCATGCCTCCCTGTACAAGCCTACATTTAGACTTTTTAGGTCACTAAACAGAGACATCAGCTTCTTTGACTTCATGAGGTTGCATTTAGAATTTTGTGCATCCCCCTCTGTCATCATCTGATTGGAAGTTTCATGTGTGATCGAGGCACTCAGCCTCAAAAGTAGACCACTTTGGCAAAGCATGAGTGCACTTTCCTATCAAAGCTAGGAAAAAGTTGCAAGCATGGCCCAAGTGACCTCTCCATGGCTGCTGGTGGAAGGGAGCTTGAGAAGATAGACCATGACCAAGGGGAATAAAGACCATATAATAGAGAAAGAGCTCTTGCTTTTTGATGCTTGCTCTTCTTATCAGTGAGGTGAGCATACAAACAAAAGACAGAATGCAAAGGATCAATACATTTGAAGTGATTGAATTAGAATACTTTAAAAATAGAAGTTGATTTTTCTTGGAATTTGGAATGCAAATCTGCAAATTATTGTATTGATCCAATTGAAATCAATGAGTTGGATAATTCCAAGAGAAAATGCTGTGGAAAAATTGCTGAGAATATGTCATCCAAAACAACTAAGAATAAAGGTAGGAAAAGCATAAGGGAACCTAGGACAAGTTAAGATATCCAAGGAAATGGAACATTCCATACAAAAGAAGGTGAGCACCAATGAGCAAAAGCAGTTCGAGTGATCAAGATGTGGTGGGGAGTTAATTCAAAGTTGATTCATCAGGTAATAAGAAAAGCACAATTTTCCCACTCTCTTCTTTATCTGTAGATTTGATGATCTCAAGGCAGACAGAAGGCAGTGACTGGAGAAGAGGCATAAAACCAACCCACAGGAGAATGTGGAAAAAGGAACACAAGAATTCACTGACATTTATGTGACATCAAAACCACAAGAGAACATGTTTCCTCCTGTAACTCTCCTCTGATATTTATGTGTTCTAGCTGAAGTCAATCCATTTTTCTAGTGCTCGTATGACCTCCCAGATAAAAAGAAATCAAAAGGAATCATGTCAACTTCCAATAAGTGCTGGACACATTAATAATTGTCACTCTCAAATTGATGTCTTTGTTCTGTAGTCAACAGCACCACTGGTGTCTGGGCCACTACAGGAGGTTTGACTGCTGTTTTTGGCCAATTACAACATGGGAATTCAATGATTGCTGTCAGGATTAAAGATAACAAATGATCAGAGTAACAATGTCACATCTCTAAAAAAATCACTTTGTAAATAAGTTTTCATGATCAAGAAATCTCAGAAGAGAAATGAAAGATGGATAGAGATATTCTCCTCTTGAGGTCATGACAAGTATGTGAATGCATGTTTGTGATGGCAAGAATACTGCCTTGGAAAACCAGCAGCAGTTGCTTGTTTCAGAGGCCAAAAAGCTACATTTTAATGGTCCCAAAAAGAATGTTTCACATTGAAGAAGCCACTGACTTGTTTGTCCTCCTCCTCCCAGCTCAGTTGACCATATGTTATGGCAGCAAAAAAATTCTTGCCAAACCACCATTAACAAAGCATGCCAAACTGCTAACCATGAATAGAAATTACCTTTGACTTACATAATGTTTGGTTTAAGGGCATGATCTTGATCTGTGATGGAGGTTTGTCATGTCTTGTTCTAGGCCACATGGGAGTGTCAATCACTACTCTTCCATCCCTATCCACCATTAGACACTGTGATAATAAGTATAGAGGGAGGAGTTGGAGGGAGATTCCTGTTTGATATGCATCCCAGTCAGACATCATGGTGGTGAGGAGGTCTTGGTTCTTCACAATCTTCATCATCTCAGCTCTTCTCTCACTCTCCATGTCCCAAGGTACACCTCCTCTGATTTATTCTCCCCCTTGTTTATTTGTGGGAAAGGCTTGCAACTGATCCCTGCTTGCTTGCTTGTTCTTGATTGGTGTCAAGGGTATGGAAGAAGAACCATTCTTGTGAGGTCTTCAGAAGCTGTGAGGTCTCCATCTGAACATGAGGTGAGTCTTCTTGTTCTTTGTTTGCCTCTCTCTCTCTCTCTATCTCTCTCTCTCTCTTCAATTGGGCCATTTATTCAACAGGATTATGTCAGTAAAGTTGTTCTTGGTGATTGTTGTTTCAGGAAGGGATATGGGAAGTCAGGGAGATGGTGGAGACAACCATGGACTACAAGGAACCTGGAGCTAACACCAACCCTAGAAGTGGCTTGTCACCCCCACCCCCAACTTAAAGACCTTCTTAGCCTACCTCTAAAGCATTACTGTTTGTTGAGAAGTATGTCACTGTGAATTGTGTGCCCTTTGGTTCCCTATAGCTTGCAGTGTTTATGTAGCAGAAAAGTGTCGTTATTGTTGAGGAGACTTGGTGATGTAAATTTATTTATGTTGAATCAAAACATTTAAAGTATATTAGCATACATATGATATGGAATTTGTGGAGGAGGAGGGCATTAAGAAGATGAGCTGCATATTTCAAACAACTCCATGCAGGTGTGTGTTCGATCACAGAGGAATCTACACACAATAAGATGTATTGTTGGTTTTCTTCTTCTTCTTCTTCTTCTTCTCTGTGACAAGAGATTGTGGCTCTCACACATTCCTTGATGGAATTGGTGGTTCTGAGAACTGCAATGATTGCAAGAAAAATATCTTATGCTTGGATGGACTGTGTGCTAAGCACCGGCAGCTCTGCAATGATACAGAACAAAAAGAAAGAAAGAAGAAAAGCTCGAATCAACATGGTGCAAAAGACAGATTGCTCGATTGCTACAGGTTCTGATACTGAGTTGTTCATCACCTTTATGATCTGAACAAGCAAAAGAGATTTGTTCTAATGCTTGAGAATGTCAAATTAGATGAAACAAATCTGAAAAGCTTTTGTGTGATTTATTCTGCTCTATTGGTTCTCTCACATGAGTGTGGTTTGGCAGACATGAAAAATCATGAGGATGCTCTGTCTAAAAGGTCCTAAAAGTCAACAGGAGCAACAATGTCAAACGGACAAGTCAAATAAATTTTGGCAAGATTTAGAACACTTCCATGATTGCTGTGTTTACAAACATATTATGCTTGTCCTTATCAAAAATTAAGTGCACCACCTGAAAAGAATTCAACCATCAAATCATTTCATGTTGAAACCGCATCGAATGATGCTTCTGATAAGATCAGTGTAAGTGTTACCAAGTTATGGGTAGATCTAATCTCCATGAACCAGTAAACTCCTACATTAGAGAGAGAGAGAGAGGGAGAGAGAGAGAGAGAGACAAGTAAATCTGTCAATTTCCTCGGTAGATATTGTGTGATAGAAGGTTTGATGCTTTGTGATCTGTGTTATCTGATAGGACGATGACGATAGGAAGAAGATCCAACCGAATTCGGATTCGGGTTCATATCCAGATTTATCTTAAGCGGATACGGATTCAGCTGAGGCAGGAAGATTTTTGACTACCGGATACAAATATGGGTTGGGTCTGAAGTGCTCCTTGAGAAACGGATCCGGATCCATTTGTCCGTGCCCTAAATCCCTCGAGTCCGCATCGGTCGACGGCGTTGGAATCTCTCGAGGTCGCCTGCGATAGCTCGATCCACAAGTGCCACCATCACTCCGCTGTCCGGTAAGCGATCCACAAGTGCTTGTTCATTTGATGCTCTGGCTCTTGGATCTTTGTGGTTTCGATTTCTCAGTTTCGTGAAATTAACGAAGAGAGAAACCAAAACATGATCTTTCTGGCAAAATCTTGGAAAAGATCTAATCGTTAGTCATTAAGAGTCCGATGATGCTGATTCAAGCAAGATTATTGAAAGACCCTCATGACATTTTATGTTTAGGATTCTAATTCGTTTCTCCCTTTTGGCTTGTGTCATTTCTCTTTCCTATATAAACAGGAATCTTTTGGGCAAAATCTTGGAGAAGTTCTGAACTTATTAAGATTTGACTGATGCTAATTTTAGGAAGATTATTGCAAGACTCTCATGGCATGTTTTATCCAAAATTCTTGTTTAAAAAGGGGTTGTTTGGCAGAAACTTGGAAAAGATCTCATATTTAGTTATTAAGATTCTTTAAGGAGATCACAAGACCCTCTTGACATATTATTTTCAAGATTTTTTTATGTGATGTCGTGTCATTTTATCTTGTCTATCTCTTTTTGAAAATTCAGAAACACTCATTTTCAGTTTATTGATGGAGGAATCTTGGGTTCCAATTAACAACAATATCTTAGTCGTGATGCAGCTCGGGAGTCCTCAACTAGCTGCTCGTTTATGATTTAGAGGAAGGAAAGAGATTTTTTGTTGGAATCGTGCATCTGAGAATGACTTTAGCTCAAGCTAGAAATGTCGTTCTGCCCTGCATGAAGCTTCTCAGGATGTCAGCTGTGCCTATTCTAGAGCAACTACATCTGGAGGAAAGGTTGCTCAGGACATCGGTTGATAATTGGTGCATTGTTAATGATAGGACAAATCGTCCTACTATAGTCATGGGAGTATCTGGGTAAGAACTCATTTAGAAATATATTTGTTTTGTGTTTCTGTGTTCCTTTGATTTTTCAGGGTCATCTATAACTGTTTATATTCTCTCTTCATGCATGATTTGGGTATCCAAAGATTGTATTTGGGGCTATTGATTAAAGTCTGACCATGAGCATGAAACTATACCACTAGGAGGCCTTCAGAACTTATTGAACTGAAGTCTGTGCTTCGTGATCAAATTCCTGTAATTAAAAGATTTACTGGAGGAGGCACTGTTATTGTTGATGATGGAACAGTCTTTATCTCTTTCATTTGCAATAAGAATGCTATCTCGGGGCTTCAACCATATCCTCACCCTATCATGTCATGGACTGGCCAACTTTACAGCGAGGTGCTTCGAGGATTTGGTGACTTCCATCTCCGTGAAAACGGTATGTAGGAAGGAACAATTTATGCTACTTCCTTACATGCTCAGCGATATTTGGTATCTACATTGTCTTCATGTGTATGTTTTTCTTTCTCTTTTTCTTGGTTTGTTATTCTGCTGTGTTACATCTGCTTGACCCGCACTTAAAAAATTATTCCACATCCACCCTACTTATATTTGGATGGATCATGTTATTTTTAATAAAGTGGACTTATCATTGTAAGATGGATAGTGATACCTCTGTTGTGAGGTAAGTAGATTTTGACCAACTTTATGAGTGGTCTCTTTCTGATGTTTGTAGACTCTGTTCCAATCATAGGTGAGTAGATATATCTCAACATCTAAAGTTATTAATCATCCTGCGATTAGAGAGATAAGAAATGGATTTAAGTTTTTATAGCATTTGAGCTACCAGCATGAATAATGGCAACATGGTCCTTGACTCATTGTGCCCAGACCCATGGGTTTTTTTTTTCTCAGATTCTGACCCTGTTTTCTTCCTTAAATTCATTGTATTTATTTTGTCTCAGCTAAACCATAAGTAAAAACTGATAATTGTTTTTCTTTTTATCTAAGCTAAACCATAAGTAAACTCTGATATATAGTGCTTGATGGCATCGAAAAAGTCATGGAAACATCTCTCTGGTACTTGCTATTATATTTGAGGATCTTTTTGTATTGAAAAAACTTCTGATATATGAAACTTACAGTTTCCGAAAAGTCATCAAACTGAAAACAGTCTTACTTGTCTTGTTTATGACTGCAAAGCATCATGTTTTGTCAGGTTTTGCTATCATTTAAGATGGCGTTCCTTCCTCATTTTCAGATTATGCATTTAATAGCCACAAGTTTGGTGGAAATGCTCAGTCCATAATTAAAGAGCGATGGATTCATCATACGTCATTTCTATGGGATTATGATATAAAGAATATGGAATACCTAAAGCTTCCCACCCGTGCTCCAAAATATCGATCGGTATAACCTATTGACAGTCTTTTAATATTTCTTGTAATTGTAATAATTCTTCTGACAGCCACTGGGATTCTCCTTTTCATTAAGTTGATGGATACTTTTTTTGTTTTGGCATCATTTCAAGAGTGATTAGAATATCATGTGGGAAGAAGATATGTTTTGACTTATTCTGTTAAAATAATTGTTTGACTCAGTCAGCATCACACTAACTGCATGTACAAGTTTGATGATGAGATGCTCTCAACTTTAGTTGATACCAATGCTGACTTGATCAGCTAAGTGATGTGTTACACTGTGAACCCTTTCTTCTAACTTGCTGTGTGCACTTTAACGCTCATCCCTTAAGGTTACGCCATTTGGTAAAAGGATCACATTTCCATTCAGTTATTAATCATCATATAAATGGCTGTGTTATTTTAGCTCCAATATTTTAAATTTTCTGATTCTTTTTTCCCTTTGATAGGCATCTATATTTCTGTTGATTCCTATTAGAATTTTATTATTGTGTGTTTTTAATTTTCTTTTTGTCAGTGGTAATTATTGTCTTTTGTAGCTATTGAAGCTCGGATCCATGTATCAAATGTAAATTATATTATAAACTGCTAGCAATTTTTATATTTGAATATAGTGACAGATAGATGATATGGTTAGCTGAATGTTAATAACTCTAAAAAGTCGATATTTTCTTTTTCAGGCACGACCTCATGTCGATTTCTTATGTCGGATGAAAGAGTATGTGCCATCCAAATCAACGTTTATCGAAAGAACAATCAAATCTCTCGGAAGTTACTTCTTAGTTAAACCTTTTGATTTGGATGACATTACAACTGAACCTCCCTGCACCCTGCCGCATTCCACGAAGCTGTTGTCAAGACAGGAGCTGGAGGATGCATATTCATCACAGTGTGAGAATTTGCCATAGCTGACTTTCTGCTTGTGATCAGGATCAGATACTGTTTACTCAGTTTCATTGCTACATGAGACATTAAATTCAGATTAAAAGGCATTCATTTCTTCTGGGATAATATTTGTCGTATAAAATGTTGCATTTCCTTCTTGGGGAAGTTAAATACATGCCTTCTTGTTTTGACTTGTATCTCCTGATTCGACATGTGGCAGTGCAGGCCTGATTTCAGGCTTGCATCAATGGAAACATTTGAGACATTATTATTGATTGAAATAAACTAGTGTTTCAAATTAAGGCTAGTTTCGTTGGGTCCTGACAGTTGATACTATTATCTGGATGATTACTTTTAAAGACTATTGTGCTTGTATGGTGCACAATGTTGTTTACAATTTTTCATTTTATATCAAATGATCAATGAGTTCTGCCATGAATTCCTCCATGTCCTCTGTCATTTGAAGTCATGCCAGACTCCTGTGTCTCTCTCAGTTTGGCTTGTATCATATCAAATCTCTTCCTGTGCTCATTATTCTCTTTTGGGTTCTTTGTTCCCAAGGATCTTTCTCTGAGATGGAACACCAGCTGCACAACAAAGTTACTTCAGGTAAATGTCTTTTCATATGTACTTATGTTTTCCCTTTTTCAGCTACTCCCATGATCTTGGATATTTAATGTGGATAGAATTACTACTTACTGGAAACTCTGGAGAATACTAGGATATAATTGCTGCAAAAGAACAAACAAAAAACATGTTTGCTTTATAATTTATTTGGAAATATATCAATGGCCACATATTATCTGAACACCTGAAGATAAACTATATGGCACAAACACTGAACTTATGGTTTTGGTATTATTCTTTCCATAACCAGTGAGTTACATTGGTCATATCTAACAGTAACATCCACATAAAATCTAATTTAAACATGACAAATGAACTGAAAATAACTGACTCCCATCTCTGATTTTGATTCAAGTTTCTCATGTTTGCTCGTAAGCATACAGTCCACAACACACAAGAAGAGACATGCATCGTAAAAATTGTTAAAGCAGGAGTGTGGAAAAGGTGAAAAATAGACAGATGAGAAGAAGAAAATAGTATGCCACCCAGCAAAGCAATTACTGTAGAAAGAAACATCAGGCAGTATGATAGTTTCGGACAGCTCAGGAACATGTGTTTGCAGCTTTGAACTAGCTAAGCTATTCACTACCAAAAAAGCATGATGTGTGTGCACTTTTTGAACTAGTTAGTCACTATTGTAAGTCCCAATGATTGTACTCTCAGTTTGGTGGATGTACATCATTTTCCAAGCCTCCTTTTCTCTCTTGGCATCATTATTAAGTTCAAGATTAGCTCAATAAATATCAAACAAAATTTATGAAAGGATAAGTTTAGTTTGGCTTGTCTAACATTCATTGAAACACTGTATCATTGGATATAAGAATGTATTGTCATTGTTAAGATGCTTGGTGTGCCATAGGAAGTTAGGGGTTTAAGCTCCACTGTGATTAATCTTGCCTATCACATTAAATTGATAGTAAAATCATGTGATTAATCTCATTTTCACTATCTATAAATATGAAAAAAAATATCTGTAACATATTAATCAAAGTAAAATTATGTCTGATCTATTTAAGCAAACAATTGAACTATCTGACATAATTTTCTGTTTTTTTTACTTCTGTTGTTTTTTTTGGAGCCTGCAAACCAAAGACTACTTCATATAAGGAGTGCAGGAAAACATGGATCTGCTTTTTCTCATCTTCTGTTGTTGTTGTTTTTGCTCCTCAACTAGTAATTTCAATGCAGTCACTGCAGAAGACAGCTGGGATCTGCTTTTTCTCTTGTCAAAGATATAGTCTGTCCTAACCAGGAATCTTGTTTAATGTTTCTGCAAGGACTGCTCACAGTAGCCAACATCAACCTATTGCTTCTCTGAGCTCATCAAATCAGTACTGGACACAACAACAACATTGTGTCCAACTGAGGAAAGAAGAGTTGTTTACTTCATGGAAGAGTGAGAAGGATCACAGACAGCACATTAACTTCCCATCCAGTGTTGATGGTACCTCCAGAAACTAAGAAACCCAAGATTTTGAACAGTTGTATAGGAAGTGATGATAACATAATGTGGAAATAAAGTAGTGATTGCAGATTACTTGTGCCTTCTACAAGATCTCATAAATCTGAAACATGTTGGGACATCAAGATGTGAAGCAATCCCCACTCACTGTTCAAGTACCTTCAATTCCCAGTTCACCAACCATCCTGTCCTCTCATCTCTGAGAACTACAGTTTGTAGCAGAATGGATACCTCAGAATCCCCAACACATCACAACCGGGAAGTAATGGTTCATATTTATCAGAAGATTAAAGCATCACATGGTCAATAAAGCTCTGTGACCAACCAATGATGGATATGTGATGGATTCTTACCGAACTTACTGTTGTTTCCTTTCATCTTCTTCCCCGACTGTTCTTGCTCTTCTTGCTTCAATCCAGAAGGCACAAATAGCATGGCATAACAAGCATCATTAATCTGCCATATAACTTCACTTGCATAAATGACATGATACAAGCAGTGGTGACGATGAGTCACAGAGAAGAAGCCTTCTCTTCAGATGCGCCTCAGGAGAAATGAGAGGTAGAATGCCACCACTTTCTGACTACTCCCTAAGAAGACGAGCAGCTTCTTAAGCTGTGTCTTCCCCTCTAAGAACAGCAAGCCATTGATATAAGGCTTACACACAGACTCTAACACCATGAAAGGCCAAGGTAAAATAAGCCCTTTTAATCTTCATCCATCACTCTATGCTTAGAATTATGGGTTACTCTCTAACGTGAAGCACGTCACATGTGCTTCTCAGTGGAATTGGCCACCGCTGAAGGTTTGTCCGAACGACCAGGTTGCAGGAGCCACGTCGTAGGAGACGACGGAGCGGCCGTCGCTGGTGGTGACCTTGAAGGAGAGGGACTGGCCGTCGAGGAAGGCGTTGCTCTGCCAGTTCTGGCCCCAGTTCCTGGACATGGACTGCCACCCCGTCCTGGCTCCCCTGACGGCCACCGCATGCACGTCGCCTGCTCCTCCGACGTTGGTGATGAGCACCAGGTTGAAGTAGGAGTGGCCATTGACGGTGAACCTGATGCCGCCTCTCTTCCTGCAGGGGACCCTGACATCGCGGAACCAGAAGAAACGACATCAGGGCGGAAGGCAGAAGAAAAAGGAAGGAAGACGCAAGCTGGTCGCCTACCTGCGGTATGCAACCGGCACGATTCCAGCTCTGTACTGAGCGATGCGGAGGAACACGGGCTGAGATAGGTCGAAGTGCTGCAGGGGGGGATTACACCACCCACCGGCGTCGTTTGGGAGGGCGCTGTTGGGTGGGCAGAAGTTGGTGGCGGTGACCACAACGGATCCTCGCAGACAATTCCGGCGGTCTTTCACGCACACAATCTGGTAGCAAGCTCCGCAGCTGAGGCCGTCGCCGAAGAGGGCAGTGCTCAGAGCTGCGGTGTTGGTTCCATACCCTTGGCTGTACAAGTTGCCATAGCCACAAGCTCCTCCTGCAAATGCCAACAGTCGCCATTCATCAGATTCGCGTGTTATTACGCTACAGCTTCGCGAGCATAAAAGACTGTTCCGCAGTCACACCCATCGTCCCTGACGCATCACTTCCTCCGTAGAAGGTGGCATGTGCTCTGCTCCACCTTCCTCTTCCTCCGTACCCCTCCCCAGCAGAGAGCAGCGAGGCAAAAGCAACCAAAACCAGCTCAAGCAGCGCCATTCCCCCCCCGCACGACGAGAGGAGAGGTTGGATCTGTGCGAGGAGGGAGGGAGGGAGCGGTGTGGGCATAAATAGAGGTTGGTTTCACCCTGCGTTACGATGCTGACGACGACAAAGCACTGTCGTTCGGTACAAACCAGCCTTTTTGGTCTCTGGAAAGTTGTTCTTAGCATCAAAACGTGTGGTCTTTTGGGGTGTTTGCCTGAGAGTGAAACTGAAACCACTCTTCGATCCATCCAAAGAATATGATCATTGCTGTCAGTGTTGGAGAGGCAAAAGATATTAAGAGCCACGTGCATGGACCCTTCGTGCTCCGACCCTTCCACCAAGCAAAACCCTACTCCATCTTTCATCGGGATCACAGCCCCGCGAGTTCACGGTGACATGCATCTGCAGACCCGCACTCGGGGAGTCGGATCGCATGTGACAATAAATACGTCGAGCCAACTGTGAGATTTCAGTGTCATCCCACAGCTGGTATCTCTTGTTTCTGCAACATTGTCGTGTGGCATTCATTGGATTCCATGTGTTGAGAGAAGCAGCCTCCACTGCAATTGTAGGTGTAACCACTGCATTAGATACTCCCACATGAAATCCCACAACATCTTGATCTCTGCTGATTCAGAAAAGAGGGAACATCTCGGCTGGAAACTTTGTTCTTTCTTTCTCTGTCACTTGTCACAAAAATGTCAGAAAACAAAAATCATATCTTGCGAAGCTTTTCTCCTTTGTGCAGAGTGGAAAGATTTACTCGTGCAGCACTAGAATTTGAGGAGAGAAGAAGAAGAAGAAGAAGAAGAAGAAGAAGAAGATATGGTGCAGCTAAAATCCAAATGATTTGGTGCCTCACATTGCTCTTCCCCACTCCTAGATAAAAGGACAAAAAATTGAATATAAAGGACAAAGATAACATGAAAAATATCAGGATCTAAGATTAGCATGTCAGGCATGCATGCAGCACATGTGTTTACATGTACCACCAAAGAAGAAAAAAACAAATCATAAACCCTTCTCTCAGCTGATGATGATGAATTTTGCAGAATATCATATTAATTATCTGCAGAAGATCAATTGTCAACAGGGAAAAGTTTAGTGATAGTTTTCCTAGTGGTGTGTGAGCTTAAAAATCTTAAATCCATTGAAAAATCTGTGTGTTTGGAGGAAAAATTTAATGATACTTTTTAACTGTCAATAACCAGCTTTCTTCCTTTTGGAACCTTTAATTGATGCTTCTCCGACCACCCCACCCTTTTCTTTTCTGCATCTTTACATCACGTCTGTTGCCAGGATTAATCATCCTCCTTCTGAGTCCGAATCATACTAGAATTTAGCTGTTCGAGTTTAGCCCCATTTCACCTCCCAAACCATAGGAGGACTCTCTTGAGATCAACTTGCTCAACCTGCCTTACTGTGTTTTTACTGCCTGTAGTCTTATTTCGATGTGACTGGGAGAAGTAACAGAGTGAAACGAGACGCATTCGAGATGCGCTGTCGGTGCAATTCTGGTCTCGAGTCCCGATCAACCACCACAGGTTTTTGATTTGAGGTTACAGTCATCTACACCCAACCGGTGGTTGCAGAACCGTGCTCGGAACATTCTTACAGGATCCTTCGTGTCCCCTAAAGCATGTTTAAGACACGGAAAGCTTCCGTGTTGACGACAAGGTTCTGCCATGCTTCGATGTGGAGGAGGACATCAAAGCGATGGAAGAACTCGCCGGAGTGTTCTGCGAGCAGTCTTGGGTGGTCTGCAACAACGAAGCCTCGAGACAGCAAGAATAAGGATTTGATTCCTTGGGAGAGACGCAGAGGGCCGTTCTTTCGCAGACCGCGGTTGACGTTACATGTATCTCTTTGACGAATATGGTGGGCCGTCACCCTCCAAAGCCGGAGATCATGAGTTAGGTTCGGCGTCGTCGGGCAATTGTGGTCGAACCAAACCAGCTCCATCGATTGGTTCGTTTCACGGGTTCAACGCTCTGCGCCTATCACTAAACCGAACCGAAACCCAACCCAATCCGGTCCAGTATCTTCGTCGTGTGGGGTTCGGGTCTGAACCCGCTTCAAATTGCAGGCAGTTCGCAGGAGCCCTTCCGCACAGTCCATTTCGTCAGTGCCGCCGCCGAGAGGGAGTGGAGAGCCCAGACGTGGCCGGGGGCACGGTGCGTCGGCAACCGAGCGAGCGAGCGCACGCGAGAGGCAGACTCGTAGGAGGTAGAGATGGCTACGAACCCGTCGACGTACGCTCTGTCTCAGAGCTCGGACAGCAAGCAGCGGCTGCAGCAAAGGCGGAGACTGTTCCAGGAGACCGAATGGACTCGATCGGATGGCCGCAGCTTCCATCAGTGCAGACCTGCGTGTTCGTGTTCTCGACTCCTTACGGTTATTGTTAAACAATGACCGATTAGCTTTATGATTCGCCCGCGAGATGTTTGATGTTTTGCCCGTAAAACATCTTAGTTGTAGTATCATAACCGTGGAGTGGGAGCTTCATTAGGAATTGGTTTTTTGTCGTGCAGTTCTCAGGACAGGTGCTGCGAATGCTGCCTCTGGATCTGCTTATGCAGAATTTGGAGCGACCAAGGTCATTGTGTCTGTGTAAGTAAATTCCGCTCGTGCTAAGAATGTGAGCTTTCTGAGAAAATGTCTTCATGAATTATCTTTGGTCTTTGTTTGATATTATTAATGTTGTACGGTATAACTCTCTGTAGGAAGTAAGCATTTTGCGAATGATAAATCTGTACATAATGCCTTCATGGTCCTTTTTCTATCATCCACACTTAAAATTATCAATCCTGGTTCTCTCCTCTTTAACTAGAAAAATGAACTGACAAATGTTTTTGAGGTATGTACTTCAAAAGTTTTGTCACTTTTTAGGTTACCAATTTGGATCATTTTCTAAACATGTATGGTGCCTACCGTGTCAATGTAACTCCTCAAGGAATGGATACGAGGGACAATTTAAACTTTAACTAAAACTAATTTTAACATTCGTTGTTGTTCATACAAGATAATATTGAATTGTTACTGTAAAAAAAAAGATATTTGATCATCTAAACAGAATGAATGGAGCCTTTTCTGATTGATTTCCTTAATCATTGTTAATTAATGGTTTATATGAGGCCATGTTGCTTTTTAATTCCACTTAAGCTGTGCAAGTATGTTTGCATTGTCTTGAAACTGGTGCAAAATTTTCAATTAATAGTCTTTTGAACGTAATTCTATGTGTGATTGGCTTTCTTTCCATGATCCTGCTGAGCGCTGTTGATAATTATTTTCTTCAGGTTTGGTCCAAGAGAGAGTAAGAAAGCTATGATGTATAGCGGTACTGGAAGATTGAACTGCAATGTCAGCTACACAACTTTTTCAACTCCAGTTCGTGGACAGGTTTTTGCCATCCTGATCTATGCATTCTGATTCTGTGACGGACTGAATATCATCTTACGATCATGTGAACAAATCAATGTGCAGGGATCAGACCACAAAGAGTACTCGTCGATGCTTCATAAAGCATTGGAGGGAGCCATAATTCTAGAAACATTCCCAAAGACTACAGTCGATGTTTTTGCATTGGTTCTGGAATCTGGTGGTGGTGAGTATCTAACTCCAATTTACTTTTGTGTCTTATTTATGTATACATTTTGTGGTTAAAGTTGTCCAATCATGTCAAAATTTTCATTCCTTGTGATTCCATTTTTTCTATTCTGAAAGAATGTTGGTAGTTGAGGAATCAATATGTCAATATTTGAACCAAAGCGATGGATAAGGATTGCCTAGTAGTGGTGTTTCTTCTGTATGCTTAAATAAATCTGTGGGACCTTTTAAAGTTGTATAGTCGGTTGAATTAGAAGAACTAATTGTCATATGTTCAGGCATCGCAGAAGAATATAGAAAAAGACTATTCTTCACTTACGTATCTCTAGCACAAGGTGTCTTTTGGTTTATAAAACTTTTGGGTGGTTATGTTATCATGTTCTTTGATTTGTTTTTCAATATTATCATGAAAAGGATGTTCCCTTTGCTCTGGGAACCAAACAATTAGTTTTCTTCCTACTTTTCTTTAATCAGATTTTCGTAATGCTGTGCTTTTAAACATCTTCTTACATGCTTCAACGTATTGGCAGAGGGCTATGTGCTACCATATTTATCGGTTTCCTCATAATTTTTTTTTGTAGGAGATCTTCCAGTGATCGTAACTTGTGCCAGTCTTGCACTGGCAGATGCTGGAATTATGATGTATGACCTTGTTGCATCAGTTTCTGTGGTATGTTTATTTCTTTTACACATTGAGCCAACCAAGAGAGACTATGTGAATCAAAAAATACTTCAAATTTCATGCTCATTTTCATCATTTCTTGTGTGCCGTACAATCATCACGTTTGTACTTTGAGGTTAGAGTGCACACACATTTTGATCTAGGTAGGCATAGTTTTTAAGTCTCTCATACAATATGCATTTGTGTTAATTCCTTATTATTAAGCATTCAGTTTTATATATAATCAATTCTTTGGCTAAGGTTGATACAGGCGGTCATTTATTTGAAGACCTAATAATCGTCATTTCCTTCGTCATTAAATTCAATATTGCCATAATTATAAGTCCCACCAGGGGTCTTTTACGTGTGGAACCATGAAGAACCGTAGTCTTCTTCTCTACAAGAGCAGAATTATGGTACATGAACAAGAACCGTAGTCTTCTTCTCTCCAAGAGTAGAATTATGGTACATGAACGTGTTAAATTATTCTAATCATGGATACCGTTGAGCTTCTATCTATCCTCTACATATTTTTAGATACACTTGTCATTGCTACATCAACCTTTACATTAAATCCAATGCTTCTGATAGTTGATCTTGATTTACTTGGTGTCTCTTCTCCATAGTCTTGTTTTGGGAGAAATCTTGTCATTGACCCGACATCGGAAGAGGAAGCCTGTCAAGATGGAACCCTCATGATTACATGCATGCCCGCCCGAAACGAGGTCACGCAGCTTATGCTCACAGGCGAGTGGACAACTGCCAAAATTAACGAGGTAATTATATGCTTAGAAGGGGAAAAAGTTGTTCTCAATTATTTCAACCAAATTAACACATTGTCCTGTCCCATAAACAGGCAATGGAGCTTTGTCTTGATGCCTGCTCTAAGCTTGCTGAGATCATGAGGTCATGCCTAAAGGAAGCTGCTTCTGGGTCGAGCTAATACTTTGAAGTCTTCTCTAGCTGTTCATACAGTGTGACTTGACCCGACTCGGAAATTATTTTAGAGAACTTGTGAGACTGATAGAAGTTCATGACAGATTTTTTTCCCATCCCATTTATTTAGCTTGAAAATTGTGCTCCTGTGAATTACTGGATTGAAATATATTCAATTAATTTACTTCATGTAGCAAGTGATCATTGAACTTTCTTAATTGGAAACTAAAATCTACAAATGCTTATGATTTTTTTTTTTGATGGAGTTAATTAGGGGCCCAAAAGATACTATGACAATTAAGGATTTATTGCCGGATACAAGTTAAATCAAATTAAAACAAAATATTGCCAAGAAAATTAAACTAAAATAGATCTATGTCAAAGACAATGGATCGTGTTTTTCTTGAGTCTTTTGGCCCATGAGAGTATAAAAGGGAATCGCTCAACTTAAACCCAATCATAAGGTGGACGTCCTGATAGAAACTAAGCAAGTTTGATAGTCGTAATAATCCATCAATGGTTCAATAGCAATCCAAATTCCGATCACCTCCATCCATAACCTAAGTAGATCAATAATTCCATAGATGATATTAGAAAAAAGATGCAATGGGAAAAGTGCATGCTACAGATTAACACTAAAATTATCAAGGTTAACATGTAAAATTAAGATCAAACTAATCAATTACTTTCATTATATAACCAAAAATAATAGCTCATATATTAAAATTATAGTAAGACATCATCATCATTATCCCTCGATCCTTTGCCATAATTTTATTTTAGATAAAATTAATAAAGATAGATATACATATATATATATATATATATAATATTTTAGTCCTTTAGATATTGAAATTTAGAAACAAGTCCAACATATGTATATTATACGCGTTCTTTCATTTTTAGTCCATTACAAATTAAATTTTACAAAAGAAGGTCTCTGGGATAATGTCACACGTAAAATTTGTTATTTTAGTCCCTTTGATATGTTTAATTATATAAAAGTTCCTGAAGCGGCTAAAATAGGACTTCACTTGCGGCAGCTCCGAACAATACTGCAACAGATCATATTCCTCCTTTTTCCCACAAATCTCGAGTCGCCCTTCGCTGCTCCGCCCGGTTTCCTTTTTTCCTCCCTCTCCCGCACCTTCTTCGAGGGTTCCTCCGTTCTCCTTCGCTTGCCTTCGCAATGGCGATCGCCGCCGCGAAGCGGTACTGGCTTCCCCTGGTCTTGTTCGCCCTCGGCTTCTTCTTCCAGCTCGTCGTCCTCCCTCGCTCCTTCCCCCCCTCTCACTACGACGGTACGCGATCTTTTTCTTGGGCGGGACTTTCCTATTGCGGTTATGGGATCCCTCGAGCGTTCTTTATTCCTGATCCTTGATCCGTGATCCGGTGGCCAGTGCTCGGCTTGAAGAGGAATGCGTCGATCGAGGAAGTCGGCGTTGCGTATGACGAGCTATCGTCCAAATTGTACTCTCCTTCCCTCTTCCTTTTCTGCCTTTTTCTTGGTTTATATCATTGGCATGAATTTTTCTGCCTTCTTCTGTCTGGTGTACGACTCTTTCGCGATTCCGTTTTTCTTTATATGACAAGCGTCAGCAATTTTGTTGACAGCTTCTTGATTATTATTATTATTTTTGTCTTCTTTAAGTGAATTTTGTTGTACATGGTTTGTTAATAGCTTCAACGCTGCCTGTAAATGCACTTGTGCTTGGGATCACTGAGAAATATGTAGAGATAATATACAGGATTTGATTTAGTCGAATAATTCTTAGCCACCGAGGCAGGGTTACAAACTCACTTATTAACTTAGTATATGGTGTTTGCAAGCCAAAATATATAGAAACTTATGTCAATATAGTGTTTGCAAACCGAAAAATTGCCTTTCAAATGTTTTTCTTTTATGTTTATTAGAAACACTACGTCCTTGAGAAGAATAATTTTGCTATCCTTTTATTGGCCGTCAACTGGAGTCTTGCTTGCCAAGTGTTTATGCAACATTATTAGAAACAGAATGTTGCACTTCAGATAACTCTTTGTTCCTAAAATTTCCTTATACTGATGGAGACCTTTCCTTCTGTACCTTTTCTTTAAATTCAATTGTTGTCCTTGGCACTTGGCGCTTGCATACTGTAACTTGATAACTGTTTCAGGTTCTCGGAATCGGACCCTCCAGTCACGACCGAACTCGTTAAGGTGTGTTATAAATTATTGTCTTCTAGTATTTCGACATTTGAAGGTTCTCCAGATGGCCTATGTGATTCTTTTAGAATGACAACTGAAATTGCTTTGTATTTGTTACTATTCAGTAGAATTTCTTTCCTTTGCCTTTTTGTTTTTTTAACTTTCACCCAGATTTTGGTTGATTTGATGGAAGAAGTTCTCATTAATATATTCTGTGCCAAAATCTGTAGAAGGGCCACTCTATTTAGTCTACATTGAGCTTTCAAGTGGGTGGATAAGTATTTGCTTTTCTGAATCTTGGTTCGTAGAACCAGTTTACTTTACTAGAGAGCTTAAAATTGATTTTTTCCTTATGCTTAAAGCTGCAGCTTTTTGTAAGCTGAGGTTTCAGAATACCGCTAAAATTTGGCTTTCATGTTAGCCATTTCTTTTGATAGAAAAAAAATCCTCCTTCCTGCCATACCTAAGGTGTTTGCCTTTCAGTGTGTCCAAAAAGGTCACCAAATGTCTGATATAAGCTGTCGTTTCTATCCTAATATGCTTCCAGAAGTTGTTTCTTGTTATACAGTGGAGCTTAAATCGAGATGTTCTTGTATACTAACATTTGAATGATATTCTTGTATACCAGAAGTTGTTTCTTTGGATCACCAAATGGTTCATGTAGGAAGCCCCATTCCAGGCTGAGGGTTTATATGTTATCTTTCAATAATTAGATATATAGTTCAAAGTTTTGTTGTTCTCGCAGATTCGTTATGCATTTGAGCTTTTGACAAATCCCTTAGGGAAGAGAGATTATGACCTTTTTGGCATTGATGAACAGCTGGTTAGTTCCATCTATTTTTATAGCTGTAAAACTTATTTAGGTTTTATAGTAACAAGCTTGTTATTTGGTTTATTGTTTCACTACAAATGATTATGATATATAGATGGTTTGTTTTTGTCCCTTGACTTTAGCATGTCATTAATAAAGTTGTGAATCAATATGGTGGAGAGACCTTCTCAAAGATAGACCTTCCGCTGATTAATGCATCTTTACTGGGTACATTTTACTTCCAGCAAATACATACATGTAATAATTGTGTGCCTTTCTGAGTTGGTGTTTATATACAATCTTGTGTTTTAGGTTTGTTCAGTGATGCACCTAATAAGTTGACACCTGAGGAGGTCATTTCTGTAATTGGGAAATCAGAGCCATTGCTCATACAAGTAAGTCCATGGAATATTTTTCTAATAATACTTTTTGTTCAAAATCAATTTAATCCATTTGACAATTAAACACAAGAAGCATGAATCATGCTACTAGTAAATATTATTACCAGGAGAAAATTGTACAAGAACTGCAGCAGCATGACTTTTTTTTTCATACTCATGAATAAGGTTTATTCTCTTGGGAGTCCTCGTTGTGCGCAATTCATCGGCGCTTGGAAGATGATAGGTACAACATTTACTTCAACACATGTAGTTATTTAGTTATTTTATTGCATGTTGAGCCGTGTCATAGTTGTTTAGAGCTTATAATGCCATAACTTTATTGCATGTTGAGCTTATTGTCTTGTACAACTCGATAGCGGTCAGCTTAACACCTGGTAAACTCGGTGCGAGCTTATCAGGCAACAAGCACGGTGTCGATCGATACAGCCAAAACTTTATACCATGCCATGTGCTTTGTATCCTGTGTTGCTCAAGACCTTAACCATTTAGTTTTTTCTGTTTACCTTTGAAGCTATGGTATGCATTTGACGAACTTCACTAGTTTTCATCAAGTAAGTGAAATCATTGTAATAACTTGTAAATATATTTGCAGATAAATAATTTTGTTTAATTTAGTAAGCTAAACTACTGCAGTTTCTAATGCTTCACATTATAATCTTGTTATGTGATGCATGCTATCTATTTGATGCCTTCTAGTTCCATCTTTTTGTTTTTGGTGGCATCAACATTTAAGGTATTTTCTCCCATGATTTAATTTGCTAATATCTTGTTACCTGGTCTTGTGCAAGCTAGGAAGTTTATTGGAAGGTGTTGCACAGACTGGCATGGTGGAACTTGGTGATGTTCAACTGGCATCTTACCTTGCAGAGACAATGTTCACCAAGCAGCCATATTTTCGGAAAGGTATGGATTAGTAATTTTATTACTTGCATTTCTAAGAAACCAGGAACTAGTTTAAATTTTGTTGTATCATCATTGTCCACTTCCACCACAAAATCAATATGTAGTTACTGAAACAGCAAAGGTTTGTTGATTACATAGCATGCAGACTTATTTCCATATATAAAAATTGCTGGTGACAATGTTCTACTTTTCGCCTAAGAATAAATTAGTGGAAAGTTAAATGTTATGTTGATACTGCATTCTCTAATGGAAGTAATATTGGTTAACTTTCACATTCTCATTCATGATTCGTATAGGTCTGCCTGCCCTTGTTGCTTTTCCTCCTAATTGTTCAAATGCTAATTGCTATGTGAGGTTAGTGATGTTACATCTTTTTATGATTTCAATGTCAATATGCTAACTACAACACAGCTGTCATTCCTTATTTTTATAAAACTTTATTATGTTTAATTGTTGAAACTTCTTCCTAAGTAGTTATTGGCATTTGTGACTTTTTTTACTTCTGTAGGTATGATGGGCAGTTCTCAGTTGATGCAATTGTTGACTGGATGGCAACAGACATTATTGGTCTACCTCGCATTCTTTACCATTCAAAAGAATCTTTGGTATTGCATACTAATGATTTTCTAACTGCTTAGCAAGTTTATGATATCTTCTGAGTTATGTTGACATGATTCATGCTTTAATGAAATTCCTCATGATTAAGTTTGGTTTTGATTTTAACTAAACACCATATTCTGTTATACATTTATTTCAGGCGAAGTTCATTGTAACAAGTGGTCGACATAAGGTACTGACTGTGTTGGACAGTTGAGATCCAAAGACTATTTATTTAAAATGCAATAGCAGCTGTTATATCCTTAATGTTTTTCTAGGTACTACAGAGACTAGTTTATTGGGCAGCTTATGTTGCAAAGTAATAAAATTGTTAAGCTGGTTTATTTTCGTTGTTGCTGGTGGCTAATCTTCTATTCTATCAACTGAAAATGTTGTTTGTAACAAAATTTTCTTTTTGTTTACTTGTTGTAGATACAATTTTTTTGTTTGTTTTCTTAGGTGATCATAAAAGAAATGGAAGGGCAGTTTGTAAATTTTCTTCTTTCATATTTTTAGAAAAGAAAAGATGACCTATATTCTGTGGCAGAAGGTATCTAACTCAACTGATCTGGTTGTGTGCTGCCATTATATGTGCACATTGGCATGGTTTGACATGATAACTTCGTTGCTGGTTGTCTATTTTGTCATATACGCACAAAATTGTACCCCTTCGACTATTTAATTTCAGCAAGCTGTAGACTGAGATTAATGACACCTGGGTTTAGAGTTTTGGAATGACAATCTGGTTTAGTTTTGTGATTTTGACTTAGAAAGCTCATGGAGGAGGAAATAATGTTGCCTGATGCTCATTTATAAGAATGACATTTGCAATAGTGCAAATATCATATATGTCCGAGCTGAATTTCCTTAAAATTTATTGTGAGCAAAACAATGTTCTATACTGAAAATTAAGCCGCTGTCTTTACCCTAATATCTTGCAATGCATCCTATTCAGAAATAGAAAAGGGATTATGTTAATTTCTTCACTTATCTACCACCATGTTTCAGCAAGCATAATCTGAACATATGGTATGACTCAGCAGTTGATCTAATGTGATCATTCTTAATTGTGTAGCTTGGGCCTCTTTGTCTTTATTCCACAATGTTCCAATCACTTGTGTGGAAAATATTGTACGATATCAACATAATACCAACAGTTCAACTAATTTATCATTTTTTCTTCAATAATATATCTTTGTGTACTGTATACCATTCTGACATGCTATACTGATCTGAGAGAGGAACAGTGCAAGATCAGCACCTAAGTTCAATTTGTCGACTTAGACAGTTGAGTTTTTTTTTTTTTGTTGAAAAAGTGCAGTGGGCACCATCTCAAACTTTATAATGTTAGCCTTTGTGAGGGTTTGTTTGAGATACTGCAGTTGGCTGCAGAGTCATGTGTTCCTTTAATTCCATGCAGTTGTTCACTTGTTCAATCTTTCTCTGAATACATCTTTGAGCCTATACTTAGATTTATGTTAATTATGTTGGATCTATGGCATTATGTATTCTTTTAGTTATATTGTAATCCTAGTGTGAGTAATTTACATGTGGGCATTTATGTTGTGTTAAAAAGCAACGTGTTGCTAATTGCCATGATAGTTTCTGTAAAGAGACAAGACTTAATGGTTAACAAAAAGACTTAAGCTCTCCCAAGTACATGTGTGATGAAATGGAAGGCAAGTCATATTAGCTCTTGAGGTTATTCACTTCCTGGCATGAGAGTATGAAGAACATATTTTAAAGCAACAAGTTGACAATATCTTGTCAAAAAACAAATTACACCATGTCACTCATGTATTTAACTATCTATGGCTCACAGGTCAAAGTCATTTGCTTCTCAAAAACTGGGGAACGTGCCGCTCCATTCATACGCAAGGCTGCCAAAGATTATCAGGCGGAAGCATCTTTTGCATTTGTTTTGTGGAAAGAACCGGAGTTCTCCCTTTGGTGGAACATGTATGTTTTTTCATGCCAATTAATTTCCTTGAATTTCATCATGAACAATCGATATGCAACTGGAGTGTGTGCTAAAGTGTGCCACTCTCAATTAAATTCACTTAAGAGGTCTATGTTCAGGTAATCAATGTCTCCGCAAGAAGGTGTTTTTTTAAGTATATTTATTTAAAAGAATAGAAGAGATATACTTTTGGGCAAGTTCTTGTTTTTTTTTCATCATCTAACATTAAAGGTTTATCCCCGTTCGATGTGTATCTGTTTTGGCCTTTGTTTTGTCTTCTACATCCAAAGTTAATCGACAATTTTGGTTATTGGGGCTTGATAAACTACGACATTTGTGTTGGTTTTTGAATCCAAATCTTGGTTAGTCTTTTTGAAGAATGTTTAGGATCACGGTGTTGAGCTTGGATATCTACCCTTTGGCCATGTACCTTCCGAGGCTACTTTGTGATGTTATGGAATAAGTAGAGACATGTTCAATGATTTACCTATTGTTTGTCAATCTTTGGCAGTTATGGTTGGTTGTTAACAAAGACAAGTCAACTATTTGTTGACTAAAAGAGACTTAGCACTTGCCTAACTACCTAACATAGTAGGAAAATTAAGTATGAAAATTCTTAAAAATAAGAACGCATGACAGATAATTATGACAATAACCATAAGATTGACTTATCTTTGATGCAACTTAATCAATAGACAATCTTTTTATTTGGCTCAAGATAAACTTGATCTCAGAATTTTCATCATGTAGTCATTTGCTTTATTATGTTTTACCATAGAAAGTCCAAGGCCTGTCTCTTCATCATTATAGCATGCAATTGTGTTCTGGTATATTTTAGTTTTGATGTTCTATTTAGGTATGAAAGGCTTGAGGCTTATTAATCTTGAACATCACCAGGAAAATTCTGTCAATCGGAATGAGCTGTGCATGATTTAACTGTGGATCAAATTTACAGTTATCTCTTGAACTCCATGTGATGGCCTGCGTATCAATAATATTCACCACTTAAAATGTAGAGTTATTTACATTTCCATGGCATTATTTTTGTATCATGCATTATGTTACTTTTAGATAGATTGATTTTAGATGTTCTACCCAAGGATGTTGTTCCTATACCTTCTTTGCATCGTGCGCTATGATTTACACTGACATTTGCCAATTGATATGACAATTCTCATTCCTGTATATCTGTGAAAACAATGTCCTATCCTTGCTTTTATTGTTCTGCTTTGCAAACAAGTGTAACTAACACTTTTTCAACTTTATCATTAGGTTTGGTGTGGAATCAGCACCTGCTTTTGTATTTCTGAAGGATACATATTCAAAACCATTCGTCTACCATGGTATGCTTGGACATTTGTTCCCCATCTATAATCAAGATTGATAACTTGCTGATCATTGTGGATCTCCTTCTGTTGCAGGAGCTCTGGAAAGTTCACAGTTTCAGAAGATAATGGAAGATTATAAGCAAAATGGTATATTTAAAAATTACTGACATTTTGCGACTTGTTTACAAATTTCCATCCAGAACTATTTATAAGTTAATTTATCTTACTTAAACCACAAGAAAAAGAAATGGAGAAGAAGCATTATTGCTTGTACCTTGATTAAACTCTACTTTTTTTATGCTGTTTTATGAAAGGAGTTGAAGTTGTCAATTCTTTTCCCCTTCAAAGATTTATGTTTCAGGTGTATAGGATCAAAAACCTGTCTGATCTGTTTTTGGTCAAACTAGGCCAGTTCACCTCCACTGAACATTAAACATTGAAAATGCCTGAAAATTGTTTATAAGGGCTGAGTTTTATGCTGTTATTTAAATCCTAGTGACTTGTAGAATGAGAATTAAATAAGTAAATTTTCCTAATGATTTAGGTGATCATATATCATTATAAAGATTTTTGGTATTTGTGAACAGCCATTATGGCACTTGGTGAGATTTTCAAGTCGTTTATCAAATAGGATGCATCTCACGGTAACATAGGTTCTCCACTTAAGATCAATCCACCACCATAGTGCCTTCTGCTCAGAACTGGTAGATGTAGTATCCAAGAGTTGAAATTGATGAACTAAAACCTCAGAAGGACTAAGTATGGAGACTCGAGTAAAAGATGCTTCTTCAGTATATTACTAGAGGAATTAGTTTAAAGTTTATACTATATACTACAATAACATAATTGTATACAATAGAAGAGATAGTAAAAGAGAAACTTCAAGAGATGGTCAAAGTTGAAGATTGCATAGTCTACTTGTAAACATATATTAAATTACCTTTACTGTCTTGTATATTTGTGTTATCTGTTTTTCTTATTGATGCTTTTGGATGTCACTACATTAGTGGCACAGATTCGAGTACATTCTCTTTGAATACTATTCTTTGGGAATTATGTGGTCAACTATATAATGTATATATTCAATCCTTATATGTTTAGTGTATTTAACATCTTAATGAGCAAATAGTACATAGTTGGTATCTGGTATAATTTCAATGAGAAAAATGTGAGATGATGAAGATTCTTTTGGCATCCAGAACTTCCTCAACTAAGGAGTGTAACATCTATGGAGCTAGGTTGTGATGCAAGAGGTTTTTCTCGTGCTGGGAATGACACTTTAACCTGGTATTGCCTCGTTCTTGTTGGACGTGCAGGCCGCACAATGGCTCAGATGCGTGAGGTCAGTTTAGTTTTCTTGGATATTTTTTTTTGGTTAATTAGTTGCAGCCGAATGTGACTGTCAATTTGTTTTTGGATTATCATTTAATTTAATATTTTTTACTTAATTAGGTGCACTTGTTTATGAATTTTCTATCTTGTTCCATCACATGTAACTGAAACTATTATAGACCATGTACAGGGTCCGAGATATGCTAATGACTGGTGATGATTCAGATTATGCCAGAAAGGTCAACGCTTCAGTTCCTATGGTAGCTGCTACTGCCGTGAAAGAGAATCGTTTAACATTTACATGGCTTGACGGAGATGTTCAGCTGGTGAGTTATTTTGCATATATTTCATATATTCTTTTTTGGTCTGTTTTAGTTTATATGTACACATATAAGTATCTATATGGAAGTAATTTTTGAAGATATATCCACAAACATGGCCATCTTTATGATTTTGTATATGATTCTTGAAGGCAATGATGATTACGGATTACAAGCTTAAATAAAATTCTAAGAAACTTTTGGGTTTAGATGGATAATGTGGTGGACCAGACTGATCTTCCATGGGCCGGTTGTCAATTGTGATGATATGGACGGTATCAGATAACAAACAAGAGCTTCTCCCTCCCTCATAAGATATTGTCTTGTTCTGTAATTTCAGTAAGGTCAAACTTGTTCACTTTTACCTAACCTTGTTGTTGGACAAAATTTCAGAACATCTAGGATCATTTTTGGTTTTTTTATATTTTCTGCATTATTTTGTGTAATAGGGTAAAACAATGTGTTTCAACTAAATCATTCTTCAGTTTTTAAATGTAATTTTGTAGTTTCAGCTTAATGTTTGTGACTTCCACGCAGAAATATTGTCAGTTTTTCCTCGATTCAGAATTCTACAAAAGTTGTGGCCCCCGAAGGTATGAAAATGATATTGATGTGCCTCAAATATTCATTGTACGTTATTTAAGAAACTCATCAGAGGACAATGTGGAGGCCGATAAGTGGAAACATTTACGGGACCAGTATATGGGAAAAGACGCTAATGCTGCCTCCCAGCTTATTGCTAGATATACTGGTTCTGATGATGTCAAAGAGGTACGTGCTTTAGCATTGAGTTTCTGTTAGAAATCTGCATTTCTTACTCTAATGCACTCTCTTTGTGAACTCATTTGGTGTAAAATTATCTGCATTGATGACAATCCTAAGATCATGTTTATTGTTTACTTTGTGAAGTGGAACTTGAATGAAGTAATCAAATTTGTTGCATTCCAAGGTCTTTCTGATTGTACTTACAAATAAAGGGCAGCCCAGTTCATGAGGCTAATTGTACTTACAAACAAAGGGCGGCTCAGTTGAGGACACTCCTGCCATTGTAGGGTTTGGGAGGGGTCTTCTGTTTGTAGTATAGTTTAAACTCTTCTTTTGGGTTAATGATACTTATACTGTCATGCTAAGTTTAACGTTCAAGTATCAGCTCATATTGCATGACGTGGTCATATTGTTACTAATATAAGTTGATATTTGGTCTTCGTTTAACATGTAGTCACTGCTATGCCGTAACCAATACTCCACTATGATTAACTAGTCATTCTGTTATGGACTAATGTGCAGATAATTCAATGGATATCACATATTATAGAGCGTGGTGACACTAGAGAATACCCATATTTTGTAAGTGTTTCTTTTCCCTTGTAATTAGTTTTTAGTAGTTTATACATGACTGAGGTATACAAGCTTCTTATGCAAACCTTCTCTTGAAAGCATTGTGTTCCTTCTTTAATTGAAGGGCATTGATGGTGAATTAGTATAACTTTAATGTTTGGCAAACTTGTTTATTGTGGCATTCTGTATCTTTTAGTTCACATAACTGTGCACTGGTTATAGATGTATAACGTCCTCTTGTTTTTTTCTTTCTTTGATGGTTCTTCTATAGTGAGTTCGTATGATCCACTTAATGGATCAAGGATGTTTGATATTTTGCAACTGTAATAAATCATCAAGAACTATCACTAGAGATGCTCACCACCAAATATCAGATTAACATATTAACCTTTCCAATAATATGCTTATGACAAACTTTATCTGTTCTTCATACAGGACCCTGTCATCTGTGCTGTTAGCCACTTGTTGCCCATAACACAGTCAATGATGAAGTCTTTTATTCTATATGACAAACAAAGATACATGTTTTATCTTTGGTTGCAAATATAGGGTAGAGATACTTGGGTGATCCAGGATTCATGTTGAACACTTAATATTTCTTTTTTTAAGTAATATTTAAAATTTTTTGGGGATATATTATGGATATTTCCTGAGTTTCAGTAGCCTTCCTTTTTGTCAATGAAAACTTTTTATGAAGGTGATCCTTACTGAGCATCTGATAGTTCTCAACAAATTATGATGATGTCTTTCATCTTGCTTTACTTTTCATCATTAAATTTTAAGTCTACGTGGTGACTTTGTGGGCCATGTTGCTCTCAAAATTAACTTCTTTGATGTATAGCTTATGTATGCTTGTTTGTAACTGGTTGTTACTTCCATTATTATTATATACGCCAAATTTTAATCATAGTAAGTATTTTCATACCATGGCATTTTAAATACTGTCTGAATTTCCAGTATGGAGTTTGGTTACCTTGTTGTATTTGCCCTTTATTATGGTTCAGGTTATTGTGTAGTTCTTATGTCTTTTACGACAACAACAGTAACAAAGTTGTAAAGTCTCATTTATTTGGGGTCTGCTATATGGATTTTTTGTGTTATTGAGGCCTATTAAATTAATGTGGATGTTACACTTGTGTCCTACATTGATCCCTTTTCTGGATAGCAACTATTTTAGCCTAAAAAGTGTAGCGTGATACTTACATTGATGATTATATTGGACAACACTGATGGTTAAAGACATTGCAGAATGAATGGCTTTTAGATCCTTATTGTAAATTGAGCTGTGTTTGCTGAAGTCTAATTTTATGCTATCTGGATATGCTTTTGCTTGTATTTAATTATAGGTTCATATATTACAATTTCTGGTTTTAACTAACAAAGTCTTTTCCAATTGAGAATTAGATACCTCAGATATGAACAAAGTTTATCCGCTACAATATTTATGACTCTTTTTCGTGACTAATGCAGACATTTACAAGTCCAGAGCTTGTCGCTGAGGATTCAGTTACAATCTGGTCGAAATCACAAGGCATTCTACCTTCTAGGGAGAGTATAAAACGCAAATTAAAAAAACTTTATTTCTATATCAGTGATTTGGTGACAGATCCGAGGATAGGCCCAAGCTTTCTCTTGGGTGCATGCTTATCTTTTGCAACCATTTGGCTGCAAAAGAATCGGACAATTCAGTCTGCTACACCAGTAAGTCACCAAAAAGTATTATCAATTCAAACCTTTTCCATGCATTTATTTTATTTATTGCTCGTGCTGTGGAAGTAGGCATTGTTTTTTTTTTTACTTTTTGAATTGTTCTTGCAGTCCTCCTGACCATATGGATCCTTTTTGTTATTAATGATTAGAATGAATCCTTTCGTGTTATTCCTTCTAACCATAACCGAACCGATGAATAAAGAGTCATCCTAAAATGATTGCAAGCGATTTTCAGTTTCTCCATTGCACATCTACTTTATTTTGAAGTGCTTTTACCTTTGCACAAGACATACCCCTCGAATAACCACCAAAAAATTTTTTGTAGTCCAGCTGCTTAGAGACTAGAATCAAGAACTACGCTTTAACCAGCTGCAGCATGAATATAGCATACTGCTTTCAAGATTTGAATCAAGTCACCCCTCTTGAAGCTTTCACCATATTGAGTAGCTGTGGCAGTTGTTAATGATAATGTGGTCACATGGCTTACATGCATCTTTTTTTTTGTTGGATTTTTTGCCAATGTGGTCTTTAAGAACACTTGTATATTGATATGCAGGGTGATGATACAACCGACAGTGCAAGAAGGCGCAGCAATAGAAAGGGGAGGGCAAGAAGCTCAACTCATGGTGAGCCTTCCTCCATCACCGATGAAGAACCCAAGGATGCCCATCAGCTGCTATCATCAGGTTCCGACTCGGAGTAGCCTTGTAATTTATATTGGAGTGGAGGAGCACGCGGGTATTTGAAATTATCGTGCAATGGCACATCACTTTTGAATATCTTTATCGTCAGACTGGAAAGAAGAAAAAGAGAGAAGAGAAGATTAAAGGTTATTTCTCAACCAATTGATTGATGAGGTTTTTGAATTGTCGATACGAGGATTTGCATGTGATTGCAATGAACGGAAAATATGTCGGATTTAACATGTGAGTTGATCTGTTGGGTGTACATGTACACTTTCCTGGCGAGCCATCTAAGCTCGATTCTCCCTTCCCCAATGAAAGAATGGAGTTGGAGGTCTCGATCGAGTTAGGAACCAAAGTGGCTGATTTGAGGGTCGATATAAGGTTGAGTTGCTGAGAAAAAGAAGAAGCTCAACAAGTTTATTATTAAAAAGGATTTCTCCTAGCCAATAGTGAGTGAGGTGAGTCGATAAAAAAATAGTGCTTTGGCGGAGCCTAAAAAGGCAGGTTTTCATATTTCTTAGAGCTTTGGATCTTTGTGCATCTTTCATCTTTCACTGAGAGATTTGTCGAAAGTGGGAGGTTTCTTACCCGA